CTTTTTATATTTTCCACCTATTACTATTTCTTTTTTTCATTTTGAATAAAAAAATTGAAAAATGAATTTTTTAAAAGTGAAATGGAAATGATTTTTTTCAATTTTTTGATTCAAAATGAAAAAAATAAATAGTAATAGGTGGAAAATATAAAAAATTTTAAGTGAAAGGTGCTGACTTGGCAGTGACGTGGCGCGTTGACTGTTAGTCAACGCGTTTGATCGTTCAAGATAACGATCAATTTTTGGGTTTGGCTAATTTTGTTACTGTGGTGTATAGTTCAGGCCATGATATTATAAATCAAAAAGATTGGCCAAGATGTTTATTATGTAAAAAGTTCAGGCAATACATATATATTAAGCATTTAATTATTATGAAAGTTAAGATAAATTATTTTTATTAATTGATTTGATATTTAATTAATTTTTAATGTCTACATGGCATCCACATCAGCGAAGCATGCTGATTCACTAACAATCAACATTGTTGACCGTTTAATTTGATGGAATTTCAAGCATCGGGCCAAATTAGTCTGTATGATGTATAATTGAGACCAGCATAGCATTTTCTTAAACCATTGACCAAAATTGATTATATAAGTATAATTTGGGCCAAAATAAGGTATTAACCCAAATTTAATACAATCATCCATATCTACATATTTTTGCTTACCCTGAAATGCGTTTGTGCAGAAGAGACAAATTTGAACAGGTTCTTTCTATAGCGAAATAGTCCTCTGTTCTCACAATCGGAGTGGTTAGATAAAAGGTAGAAGGTGCTAAATATTCATCTGCTAAGCCAAAAGAAAGCAGCAAAAACCCAAAACCAAGTCTAAAAGCTGAAGGGACATCGTCATTACTCATTACTCATTACTCATTACCAAACATGCTTTCGTTCACCCTTTATAGATTCCTTCAATAATCAATTGTTTAATCTCATTGCGTTCCACGCACTAAGATTTAGTGGAAGTTGTGCCAAATGGAGATGACCAAATTTGTTAATGGCTTAATGCCCATCTCTTTTCATGCTAATCCTCCGATGAGTAATTTATCAATTAAAATAATTTAATTTTCAAGCCAACCACGATCAACATTTCTAGTCCGTAAATATGTTGTACGGATTTCGGGGTCATATATGCAAATACTATTGTTTGAATTATATTTATACCACTAGATCTTATGGATTTAGTCCAGATTTTTATTTTATTTTATAGAAACCTGAATTTTATTCATCTCTTAAACCATCTTTCTCAAGAAAAGAGTGGATAGACAAAAGAGGCCTATGGGTCCAGAGTTCTGTAGTGTCCCAATTACAACTCAAATGGGCCATGGCATGGGCCGTTTTGTTACTGGTTCGTTTGGTGAATCTCCATCGAACCGACCCAAACCCCGCCGCTCTGTTTCTGATCTCTCGGGCAAACACCCCACCCTCGAGCCTTGTCATTTCCTCCGCCTGCATATGCTGAATGGCGATGAGGCAATCACTTTCCACCTCCACCATCTGAAAATTATGCTCCTCAGCCATCTCCACACCAAAGGCGATTGCTCGAAATTCAGCTAACTCCGACGACCATTGGACCCTTTCTCGACGCACTGCTGCTAGGAGAAACTAGCCATTCGCGTCTCTGGCCACCACTCCCAAGCAAGTCCCTTCCTTCGCCAGTACAGCCGCATCCACATTCAGCTTCACCTAGCCTTCCTGCGGTTTCTCCCAGGTATCATTTCTTTCTCTCCCCACTTCCTTTTCCCTGGTGTGATGCAATTGGAATTCCTCCCAGTAGGCTAGGGCACGCCCCACTATCTCCCATTCTTCTGTTTTTTTCTTGTTGAACATGTGATTGTTCCTCTCATTCCAAATCGACCACAACAGAATGCCTAACTTCTCCAGAATCTCATCTTCAGTTTGATCCATAACCGCGCAGAGCCAGCTCCCCGATGATAGATCCAGTCAAGATTGAACCAGTCTAATAATGCATTTACATATGTGTTTACACCAAAATTCACTTTATACCACATCAATTAAATAAAAAAAGATTTAATGACTTTATAAGGCCAATTTAATTATAATAGTTTAAATCAATTAAGTGGACCACGTGGATTGATTTTTAGGACCATAACCCTAGACCATCATGTGTCACTCTAGCCATCTATTCCAAGATTTGGCTAAGTGTTTGGATCACCCCCATGACGTGTGAGGGGTTGATAGACATACCACCACCCCCATGATGTGTCGAGGAGGGTGACCACCATACTTCCACCTCAATGATATGCCGAGGGGGGTGGCCACCATACCACCTCCCCCATGATGTGCCGAGGGGGTGATCCTCATACAGGATGTCCAGTGACGTTCATCAGCATAACCCCATTGTATGATCGGGGGTGATCATCTTGGATGAAATTTTCTAAGTATGGAGATGGTTAGTCAAATTTGGCCAAGGTAAGGAGGCCCCGTGATGTGATCACGAGGGTGATCACCATACCCTATAGTGTGATGAAGTGATTTGGAAATTTGACTAAGCATGGAAGATCACGAGGATGACAAGGAGCATCCCTCATGGTATGATCATAGGGTGGTAATCAATGTATGCCCCTATGTGGTAGTCAGGAGTGGTCAACATCGTGCAACCTCCTGAGGTAATTAATTTTGCCATTTTTACCCTGTGTGATCCAAACACCCACCCACATGTGGCAAGGAGGTCTTCACGGCTTCTTCATTTTTCTCAACTAGCAAGCGTAGCTATCAAGACGAGGGGGCCAAGACTGAAGAGGGGACTACTACAAATGGCAGGGCATAATCAGAGCAGTTAAGAGGGTAACCGCCACTCCACGTTAGCATAGCAGTTTCTCGAGGCAGTTACTTCTAGTTGATATAAATAGGAGGTGAAGAGGACGGAGAAAGGGTTCGCCAAAATCACACTAGACAACCTATTGTAAAACTTTATCTTTATCTTGAGCTTTTCCTCTGCAAATGTAGTCATAGCCATAATTGTTGTTTCAGAGCACTCACTGACCCTCCATAGGAGTAGGGTTAATGTAATTTAGATTTGACTCGTAGTTATAAAAAAACATAGAATACCCTTGTTTGAACTTTGTTCAAAAAGGTGTGGACCGTGTTTGTTAATCGTTTGGTAAGAATTCAAAGGTGCAAATCCAATCCCGTTCCATCTAGATTTTCTCTTCGGAAAACAATATGTTATATGTGGATGTTCACACAACACATTTATGTAATTTTGGTCACTCGAATTGCTACAAAATTTCACGTTTGGACACTAAAATTGGTTTATTCCATTACTAATCACTTAAATTAGTTGAACAGTTCAAGTTCAGTCACTCTCCGTTAACCTCTGTTAATGACATGGTGAGTGAGAATTGTCCTGGAACAGTGGGTTAGCGTTGGTTCTTGAAATCATACTTATGATTTCCTTTCTTCTCTTTTGTCTCCTTTCTTAAGTTGTGGTGATTGAAGGAAGTAAAGTATCGGTGAATGTGTTATTTAAGGGGAAAAGAGTGAAAATTATCAAAAAAATTTGAATTTTTTTAAATCATAATGAATAAACAATATGTACGTTATCCATTTTGTGCGTATATAAAATATCAGTGCAACAAGTTATATGTATCAAGGAGGGATATAGCCACCATTCAATATGTGAGTTTGAGGTTATAATTAGTGGTGGATCCAATAATTTTCTTGATATATATCTCCTTAAAAATTAATCTAAATAAAATAATAATATCTCATTTCTAAAAAAATATCTGATCAAGAAGAGAATGAATAATCATAGCTTCTTGCTTCGGTTCTCTTTGTGGAGACTGAAGATCATAGAAGAAAAGATCGAAGAGAAGTTAAATTCTATTTTTAAAGTTTTGATGAAACTTGAGTACAAAATTTGAGATTTAATTGGACTTATTTTGCATACACAAATTTAATGTTACAAAATTAACAAAGAATGGTTTCCAGTACAATAGTAAGGTAATTAAAAGGCTCGAGTTTGAAAACATAGATATAATATAAAAAATCTGTTGCAAACGGAAAAATAGTATTTGGAGATGGGAGAGTCCAGATTATTCTTAAATGCCTCTAAATCCACCATAATTATGACATATGTATATTATAATAACTAAATTATTAGGCCATCTTTTCTGAAACCTAGATTTAATCCTAGGAAGCTAAGCTAATCCGTAATTCATTTATAATAAATTAATAACTAAATCATAATTCATTTACAGACCGTTTGGTATCAAATGAATCAAGAATTTATTTCATTTTCAAATAAATTACCATGTAGAATTCATTTTCAAATGAATTCTTGTATTGGTATGTCATATTCAAATTTTTAGAAATAAAATGAATTGAATTATCAAACCATGTTTGTCATACGTTTAGAATTGAATTAAACAAAAGTTGCCAACTGCAACCTTATTAATTTCCGGAAGAAACAATATTTATTGAAATTGATCTTCTAAAAAAAAGTCTTTGGTCCCATAAGTAGAATATCAAAAGTGTTCTTCAAAAGTCTTTTCTAATATTTTTTTGATGAACCCTACACTCTAGTTGTGGCTTCTCAACATGTTGATTCAATCGAAGTAGAAATATCAAATAACCAACATATGCTACTAGCATTGCAATCGAATTCTTATCGATGTTCCTCATACGGCATGAGTTGGCTTCAAATAAAATATGTAGAAGTAATTTAGTTAATAAATGAGGAGAATTATGTCATTTTTATTTTAGTAAATACTTGTGGAATTCATTTGAAAATTCCATCTCAATTCATTGAAATTGCTATAACTAATCTGAATTTCGTAGAATTTAAAATGAATTCTTTTAAATACCAAACACAAAAAGTTTTCATTTCAAAATAAATTTTTCAAAACTTATGAAATTCATTTATATCCAGTGGTATCTTAGTAACTAAGATTTAGGTTAACTTTAATTAAATAGATTATTTTTATCTAATTCGTCCCACTCTTTTATCTCTCCTTTCCACACTCATATTGTTGTTTCAGAACATTATGATTTATGAGCTTCAAGACATCGGTTTCAAAACATAAAAATGGATGGTTGGAAATGAAATAATGAGATAGTAACGGAAAGTCTCGTGTCCTGAATCTGTGAACGGCAGCTGGCCGGAATTTGCAACTGTAAACGCTCCGGCGGAAGTTTCAAGGCTTCATTTGCCATTTGCTTTTCTTACGGGGTCTTCGAATACGAAGCTGAGAGTCAAATTGAATGCCAAAAATCATACATATATGTACATATAGATAGTAGTTATATGTTGTTGGTACCACTCGAGATTTATACAAAGAAACCCATATAAAATCAACAAAGATACTAAAACAGAGGAGGGACGGGAAAAGTGCTGATCGGCTTCTGAACATCCACTTTAATCGTCTCCAGAACCGGCGGCTGGCAGGGGCAGGCCATGGCTATGAATCTCGGCACTTGCTCTCCTGGCATCAACACCGGCAGGCTCTCCCCTCGATTCTTGCTCGCTTCCTGTTCGACGAAATGCCACAGAGGAAGCCAAGACTCAATTTCACAACTTCCCACTAAAGGGCAGAAACAAAAATTGAAAAACAGAGCAACTTATATATAAGTCGCGTACCAGTTGAAGAGGCGAAGATTTATGAGGAGGCAAATGATCGGTTTCTCGATGGATCCCATCATCATCGGGAACGTCCCAAAAGGAACGGAGCCTGTCCCAGTGGAGGCAGCAGATGAAGACGGCGCTCATGGAAAACAGAGTGAGCAGGAGCAGAGCCAGACCCAGAGGGAACCCGATGAGCGGCCGGTCGTCTTCGTCCATAGGTGACGAATCGAGCATCTGATAGGTGGGAAATTTCTAGCTGCAAACTGCTCGACCTCGACCCCTGGTGAGGCAAGAAGAAAAGGCGGGGGCGAGGAGGGGGAGAGTGGAAGGGGAAACGGAGTTATATTGTGTGAGGGGAAAGGAATGGAATTGGGTTGAGAGGGGTCAGGTGAAAGGAAGGTTTCAGATGTGTTTTGCGGGTGGAGTGGAGTGGAGTGGAGGGCTGTGTTGGGCACGTTTTTTGTCGTACGCTTCGTGATTTTCAGTACGGAGTGCGGGGTGGGAATGAAAGTGCTTTTTTTTAGGTAGCCCGGCCCAAAGTCCCATTCCGCACTTACTTCACGTCTGCTAACACGTTACTTTCGATTGATGAATTGTGAATTTCATTTGCTATGCACACTTTCACTTTTGTTAATCAAAGTGGTTGTGATAAGTTCCAAAATTAGCCCTCTCACCTACAGACCTTTCATGTTCAACTTTTTTTTAAGACTTGGCTTGGAAAATAGTTGATTGAAATTGGGCACTATTTGAACTCGTTGAGAAGATTAGGGATGTCAATGGTCAGGTTTTTGGCAGGTTGGTCTAAATCATTTCTTGTACTCATTTATGAATATATAAATTTATATCTATCTCATCATTATGTGTGAAAAGTTTTACAACTACATTCTCTTACTTTTGGTTTTCAGCTACTCCTCTATATCCAACATTACTATACATAAAATTTTATAGGTAGATTTTCAATTATAACCGTGAACAAACCTAATAAATCATGAAATTAATAAAGGGATTGATAATTGTCGCCCTAGTTTTATATAATCGCCCTAAATTAAAACTTAAAATGACAAATTTACCCCTTTATTTTTTTATCGCCCCCAATCCTTTTCTCCCTCTTTCCTTCATCGAAAATCCGATTTCCAATAGGCGGAATGGAGCCAGGTAACGTGTAATACATACTCTACTCCAGCCCTCCTGCACCTCACGGTAAATTAAACTCAATTTCCTTTGCATTCTCACCCGATTAATCGTCCTTCGTCCACCCAATTAATATCAGAACTATCCAAGCTATGAACACCACTACCATATATGCATCACCTAGAAGAGTTCAATTCATTGATTTCATTTCGGACGACAAGCACTCAATGAAAAGGCAACACACAACCATGCATCCATCCCTTTCTTGGATGAGAGATCAGTTGAATTCAAACTTCCCAGGGCCTTTATCTCCAACTAATTATTCGCCCTTATATTTTGGAGAGAGACGACCGGGGAGAAGGAACGACGGCGAAGTGCAGTTGGAGAAGGACGCCAGTGAAGGGATTTTGAAGAGGCGGCGGCGAGCGATGTTCGAGGGTTAGCAGTTGAAGAGTTGTTTCGTTGAATTTAAATTGATTAAATAAATCATAAAAAAATAAAGGTCAACTTAGTAATATTATTTATTTTTTGTTAGGGCGATAAACAAAACTAGGGCGACGTTTAGCCATCCAGATTAATAAAGCTACAATCATTCTTAATACGATTCAAAAAAGATAAAGTATATTCAAATCATTCATCTCGAACTTCGATACATCTACTATGCAATAGATTTGATTTAGATGGTCATTCAATTACATTTTTACTATTTATTTTCTCGAATTAACCTCATTATCATTAACACGTTACAATCTGATACTTATGTTATCATATGTAAATAAATACTCATGGTGGGGGCAAGTATGGGTATGAGTATGGGGACTAGGGGCTAAAATTATAACCGCCCCTACCCATCAATCTTTTTGCCAGCTTTACCCATTAGCCGACACCGTGTTGGTTGGGTCGGGAATGGTCGGATACCGATGAAGGTGGTTTGATTGCCATCCCTAGTTAAGAACTAATTTGTTCATCACAAAATAGTGGATTTGAGTCTTGTGAACTGGAATTATGATACTCATAATATTTTGGAGACATTCTTCCCTCATGCTCTAACACTTTCTAACTCTTACTAGAAGTGATGTCAATTTGTGTTGTTCGCGGATATTATCTAATCTGACTCGTTCCGGGACATGTAATATTGGACCCACAGTAGTATGGACGAGACATGAGTATTACTTTTGAATTGCCCCATCATATTCTTCACCCCTTCTACTTTGATTTGTCTCAATATCTATTTTGACTTATTTTATTTCATTTTTTCATCCAACTATACTTTAAATAAGTGCAACATTTCATATTTCAAATAATTGAACTCGACTAATTTACCTATTATATCTATTTTCATTTATTATCTCTTTTCCCTTTGTTTTATCAGTAAAATAATATTTCTTCAAATAATATATAAGAATGGGTCAACCTGCACCAAATCTTACCCGTGCATGTATTATCCGACCTGTCTCGTACTTGATGAAGGGCGAGTATGAGTGCTGAGATACCCTCCCCACCCATGGTCACCACTACCCACAAGTGTGGAAAATTCTGTTTGAGCTTGATTATATTGATGCTAAAGTGTGCTTGTAATGGAAACCAAATATTTTATTAATTATGAGAATATGCATAAGCCATGTACCTAACATAGAGGAATTTTGTTATGTTGGGTACATGCTATATAACATTGGTGCTATAGGTTTTTGCCTTTATGGTTTAACTTGAAGTTATACCTTTAACGTTATGATACAACTTTAGATTGTACCTATACTCTTTTGTACAAATTCTTTCATGGTACAACTTGAACTTGTACATTTATGTGATGGTACAACTTTAAGTTGTAAAGTTGTACCATAACATAAGGGTACAAATTCCTTTATAGTACAACCTGAACTTATACATTTAATGTTATGGTACAACTTCAAATTGTACATTAAATCACCCATACTTTAGAGCATAATAGAAGTGCTCACCCAATACATAGTTCGAAATTACTAAGCCACATTGCCAGAGATTTGCATTATCTACTATGAACAACACTTGGCTGTCCATGCTGCTGTGGATTCTTCTCAAATGATCTCCCCTATGCGATGTCATTATCCCGAAACGACATCCGAAAGCAAACTACTTCAATCAATCAAGAAACTGTTGTGGTAGCTTCTACCCCAACTTTTGGACTGACATCCAAGATTTTTTATAAGCAATCATTTTAGCTGCCCCTCGGTGGCGATGATCGATTCGCCATTAGGGAACAGATGGATAATATGCATCTAGTTCTGGGCTCTGGCTGCATGCATGCAATGCAACCAATGCCCATTTTGGTTATTAATTTTGCCATTGTGAAAGTCTTGACGTGTTAGGTTTATTTTCACATCTATGCTACCGGCCGCCGAGCAGATTTGTCACTTTTTATACGAGTGACTCATCGGTCATCACTATAGGTATTGTCCCTTGCTATACGGGGTGACTCATCACTTTGGGGAGAGTCGACAAAGACACCATCAATCAATAGATTGATTTGTACAATTCTCAAAACTACATGAGATGTATCCCGAAAAAACTAAAGCCAAAATATTTGAGTTATATGTGTTGGACCAACACTCATTGACGAAGACCGATGAAAGCAAAATAAAACAACCAATACAAGATTTTATGTCGTTCTGATGTGAGCAGTTCTACGTCCGGCTTGTCCGCTAGCCTTTGCCATATATATATGGTGGCTTATATCGTATCTTGGGTAAAATCTAGGGTAAGACATATTCTGAGTAAGTAAACACTATCTAGATCTCGAATTATCATATTTTTTGCCATAATATTGTACCCTAACCCTTGATATGTGAACCCTATGTCTTAGTTTTCTAAATCATAGAGCCTAACCACTAAGATTGTGCATGTAATTTGTTGCATATATTTCAATGAATCATAACCGTTGATTTTTGTTTCTACTTAAATTGATTTTAGTGTATGAGATTGATAAAAATAAAACCTAGATTTTAATCTTAAAGGGTTTGGGAATAGTATCAGATGCGAAACTCCGGTTAATTCAAGGTCTAGATATCATTTTCTTACTCAACGTATGTCATAACTTTGATTTTACCCAAAGTACCATAGAACCACCAATATATATATATTCTTGTACGTACTCGGAGACGAAATGAGAACATAGCTTATATAGCTAGGGGATACAAGCAACAAAGCTAGAACTTTTAGTTTGCTTATTGGACAAGTAGGCAATAAAAGCCAATTACATCGAAAATAATGAGGATGAGAGGGATAAACAATTCCTCCTGCATTATAGATCAACACTACTCTTCAAGTCAAGACATGAAGGTCGAGCATGTCAAGTTTGAAAATTAGAATATAAATGGCTAAATTACACGTTTGGTCACTTGAATTATACAAGTCTTTCACGTTTACCATCCAAATTACTTTTCTTTCTTATTCGCCACTAACTTTACAAATCGTTTCACCATTAGTCACCGGCCGTTATACTCCGTTAAATTTGTCCTACATGGCAGTCAACTATATAGTTTGACCGTTAACTAGATGACGTGGAAATTAAAAAAATTAAAAAAATAATTTATTTGTCCACCTCATCATTTCACTTGCTTTGTGTATATGATTTATCATATAACTATTTAATAAAATTTAATTAAACAAAAAAATAAATAATATGATTAATTTATTCTCCACCGGTAAAGATCCGATGGACGAGATTGCGGCTGCACGCAGCCGCGTACGCCACTCTGGCACCGATCTCTGTATAGTCGCCCTTCGACGTCCATCCCATTTCCGAAACCACCATCTTGATGTCGTCGAACTACAACGCCAACATCGCTGCGAACACGGTATCGATCTAGGCATCGAAGACGCTGAAGTACATCAGCCCGCTGCCGGCTCGACGACGAAGGATTCTCCCGGAATAGAGAGTAGTCTAGCGAGATGACGTCGGAATTCGCTTCGTAAGCGACGAACTATTTTGGCATTTCTAATTTCCCGAGTTTTATCCCCGATTAGCAAAGGTCCCGAGAAGCTTTCTTGTGTTTTTGACTTAATGGCACACCTACGAGCACCGGGACCTCCGCCGCATATTTTGCACTTGTTTTTTCCTGAGTGAGATGTCGTTGCTTCCTCTCCTATAGGGGAGTGCCAGACTCACCCTCTTTGCCCACCCTAAAAGGGTAAGCGTCCACCATCTGGTCTCGCGGAAGAACTCCAGCATTCGGCGGAAAACCGGCTAGATGAGCTCCTGCCTGAACGACCCCGCCAACGACGGGTAAGAGTTTTGGAACACACAATTGATAATTGCAATGCAAAGTGAAACAACCTGACTAATTTGTTGAGATGG